CTCAAAAACAAACATTTAAAATTTAATTAAGCTAAATAGAAATTGCTTTAAAACATTTTACTTATTTCAAAAAGTTTTAAATTAAGTACTAAATTCTAGTCTGGAATTAAATTATTCTTTTTAAATTTATGACCATGTCAATTATTTGTTTCTGTAGTATATTTTTAATGCATCTTTAAAACTAGCATAAGATCACTTTTGTAAATTACTTGAAGGTATGCTAGGAATATTAAACAAGGTATTCTACAGCAAATGTGTTTTATAAGTAGAGATTCAGTGTTGAAAACAATTTTACATCTGCCTCTTACTATTCTAGGACTAAATATTCTGCATGTTTGTATGTTTACACTTTTGCTACTTTTTATTTAAGTATCTATTAAATATGGGAACTATAGACTGAAAAATTAGATATTTTCTCTGTCAACCCATTTTCAAATTTCAAAGCAGAAATTGAATATTGACACATTTAATATGAAAATGTCAGCATCTGCAAGAGCCTTTTTTGAAAATTTTTGTGCTGTTCTTTTTTTTTTTTTAGTGTTTATTCTGAGAGAAAGAGTGTGAGTGGGGGAGGAGCAGAGAAAGAGGGAGAGAGAGAATCTCAAGCAGGCTCTGCACTGTCAGCGCAGAGCCCGACATGGGGCTTGATCTCATGAACCATGAGATCATGACCTGAGCCGAAATCAAGTCGGACTCTTAACCAGCTGAGCACCCAGGCACCTCTAGAGCCTTTTTTGATCGTGCTGGAATTTTGGATTCAAATTATTTTAATGTAAATGTTTTACATTCCTTCTATTTTCTTATGCATTAAATGCTTTGTTTTTTTAAGGAAATTAAGCTTAGACCTGATTTTTTTTTTTAACTAAAAGCGTAGCACTATAACAAAATGGGCTATTTTAATACCATTCAATGCTCTCTTCATTTGAATATGAAATTTATAAATTCACAGCCTTTTTTGTAAATCTGCATTTGCCTAAGACACAAAATCTGACTCTAATGAATTCTATAACTGAGTTCTTCCAATTATACTTCGCTTAGTCCATAATAATAACAAGAATATGACATTAAAAGATGAAATGATTAAAGTAAAATTTATTTGAAACCAGGTTTACATCTTCCAAAATTTTTTGTAAAACTGTTTCTGTTTTAGAGAACACCTGGAAATGCTGATTGATCAACTAAAAATCAAATTACAGGACACCCAAAATAACTTACAGATCAACGTATCTGAACTTCAGATGTTACAGTCTGAACATGACACTCTGCTAGAAAGACATAACAAGATGCTGCAGGAAACTGTATCCAAAGAGGCAGAACTCCGGGAAAAGTAAGGTTGCTAGCAGCACTAACAGTGTTTGTACTGGGCAGCAAAATATTTCCTTGTTAGAACTCCTAAAGTGTTGCTCCTTGGGATAAATTGAAAATAAGAAACAGATATTCCTAAAGGCTTGGTAACTTTGTTTTCCTATCTTAAAGCCCTCCTTTTTTATTGTTTTTATGCTTCACTTTTTTAAAAAACAATTAACTATCTGTTCATCCAATATTCTGTCTCTCCTATGGCCTTCATGACCAGAATGTTTCTTTTAAAAAAACCCACTTTCCAACTCAAGTTTCAAATTCTAAGCATTTTTCTTTCTCTCGAGAGGAAAACATTCAGACAGCTGCTGGCTGAAAAGGAATATACAACTTACCTTTGCAACTGTCTTCAACTTGTTATATTATTACTGTTAATCAGTACTTTCAGTAGACCTTAGGGGTACTGGCAGGAGGAGTAGATTATTGTGAACAAGGAACTTTGGATTCCTAATGAAGAAGTTGGGTGGTAATATTTGTTGTATCTTAGACTAAGGAAAAGAGTTCTTCATTGAGCATCATTCATCAAGGATGTTGGAATACTTTACATGTCTCAGGTATGCTTTTAATACCTACCTAATCTATGGTAGTCTCAAAAACTTCATTTTATTGGCTTTCTAATCTTTTAGCAGTGTAATTTATATAAGTTAAACATGTAAATCAAAAGTTTCCAGGAAGATCTACCGATTTTCTAGCTCCTTATCATCGGAGTTTACCATGAGATTAGCTTAAGTATAGTGATGCTTGCTTGCTCTTTACATTAGAAATTTCCCACACTTATTCTTTACTTTAGAAAAGTTATTGCAAAATATATTGCTAACACAAATAAAAGTGCAAATGATGCCTCTAAAGTTCAATAAATATTTTTTCAGTACCTACTATGTGCCAGGCACTCTTAGTCCTAGAAACTTCACAGCATGTGAGATATCTTTAGAGGTCTTAACCCCCTTCTTCACACATATTAAGAGTAATATTGTTACTATCTGTGTCCCAGTATGAAGAAATAGCCTTTTCTTTATAAATCCTCTTCTTTTTTTAAACATCTTAATATTCATACTTTCTCTATATGAGATTGTAAAAACATCTCAAGAGGAATAACTGGGCTGAGAAGCTAATACCTACTACATTGCCCAGAGGGTACAGCTACTATAAACACATCAATAACAGCTGAGACAGATGGTAAACTTCCATCAGCACAATTGTTCCAGGTCCAGGTTGGGATTCAAGCTTCTAGCTTTTAACTAGGTAAAGTCAGAAGTGTCACTGATACCACCTGCAAACTACCAACCTGACCCTAGCTCTAAAATGTAGCTATTATCTTCCTTAGAAAATTGTTGTGACTGCCGATGATTCTTCCTTTACTTTCGTGGCAGATACTATTTAAACAAAGGCTTACGAAAAAAGCAGGCTTGAGGGGTAACATATACAGTAGCATTTTCTGAATTCATTGATCCAGTATAAATTTGGCAATTAAGAAACCTTTTCTGAAGCATATGATATTTTTATTGTATGTCACGCTTTAGCCACTAAATTTTGTTTTAAAACTGTATGGTGTGCATATGTGTAGCACATAGGAAATAGCTCTTGGAAAGCTACATGTTGAACCATTAACAATGTCTGTGCCTGAAGTTGGGATTTTACACTGTGGGGGTGGAATTGAATTAAAGAAGACTCTCACTTCTTTCTGTAATTGGTTCCATATTGTTTGAATTTTTATGAGAGTACTTGTGGCTCCCTTGCATTAAAAGAAAACTTTTTTTTTTTTTTTTTTACCAAATCCAAACATAAAACATCAAGACTATAAGTGAACAATTAAACATAGTGGTTCCCAAATTATAGTTGCATGGCTAGCATCAGGCTGACAACATAAAAATTGCATGCAAAACTGCTAAAAGTAGGCAATTTCTAGGACCACCTCCAGACATTCTGATTCAGTGGCTCTAGGATGAGAACTAGATGTTTATGTTTTTAACAAGGGACCCAATGATTCTACTGTGCAGCAAGATCTTAAAACAGCTGTAATAAACCAAGTCTATGTGTTTCAGAGTTTTGCATTACTTGGCTTAGAATGGCTCAGAAAACTTTCCATAAGGCTTTCCCTAAGGCTTTATTTATGAATCAAAAGAAAGTATTCATTTTTGTGTTTCCAAGGTAATACAGAAAAGGTACAGTAATCCTATTACCACATAAGATAACTTGAAAGGGGGACAATTTAAGATATAATTATTTTATGCTCTAAATTTAACCCTATTTTCTGATAAATGATGAAGGAAGTTCCTCATCTGAACCATTGTAACATGGTTACTCAAATGAGGTTCCTCATGAACTATAGAACACAGAAATGATTTGAACTAGATGACTGCCAAAGTCCACAGATGGTTAGCACAGCTAGTACCATTATAGATGCTTTTAGAAGTTAATTCATACATTTAGTAAATATCTCAGGGCTAATGATCTAATAGAACCCAGTTGAGAAAAGCTGAGTCAGCATGACAAGTTGAAAGATCTCCTATGAAGTAAGTTCCTCTCACCCTTCAGGTTGTGTTCAATACAGTCCGAGAACATGATGCTAAAGTCTGAACATGCACAGACTGTGAGTCAGCTGACGTCCCAAAATGAGGTCCTTCGCAGCAGCTTCCGTGATCAAGTGCGCCATTTGCAGGAAGAGCACAGAAAGACAATGGAAACTTTACAGCAGCAACTCTCCAAAGTGGAAGCTCAGCTTTTCCAGCTTAAGAGTGAACCGACCACAAGAAGTATGTGTGTATGCATGAAAACATTGGTTGTTCATGTTCTCATGTATTTATGTCACTTAAATACATTCTCCACAAGTTCATAAGAAAATAGAAAATGTATCAGGTGAAAGCCAGTGCCAATGAATTTTGGATTAGCTTACTGAGAAGATATTTGAACCATTTGAACCCTTGTTGATTATACTTATAGCCACCTCCTCACCTCTTACAGTACTGACTTTCACGTGTTTGTTACCCTCTGTGTGACACTATTTCCTGTTCTCTCACTCAGACATAACCTGCAGTCTCATGACATGTATCCAAATTCCAGTATTCACTGAATCTGATGTTCTCCACTGTTGATCACAAAATGTATCTGTTTTGTGATTAGGATTATGAGAGTTAGCAGCTTACTAACAGCAACTGGGCAACAATGAACTTGTAGGATCAATTGGCCAATATAGTTTCTTCCCTTTAAAATTTCTGCTTAATTAGATGGGTGCCATGGTGGCTCAGTTGATTAAGTGTCCGACTCTTGATTTCGGCTCAGTCATGATCTCATGGTTCATGAGATTGAGCATGGAGCCTGCTTAGAATTCTTTCTCCCTCCCTCTCTCTCTGCCCCTCCCCTGCTCATGTGCATATTCTCTCTCTCTCTCTCTCTCTCTCTCTCTCTCTCTCTCAAAATAAATAAACCTTAAAAGAAAGAAAGAAATGAGATAACTTCATGGAATGGAAAATAAATGAAATTGGAATTTAACAGATCTGGGTTAGAATTCTTACCCCTAACCCTACTATGATACCTTGGACAAAGTCATTTAATTTCTCTGACCTTTGGGTTTCTTGGGATTAATAAAGTAATGTGTTTGAAAGTGCCTTACAGATCTTACAGATCTATGCAAGTGTTCATTATCAGCAAACAGGAAAGCCTGGCCTGAGGAGTGTAATAGATCCCTGCCCTGGATGCTAGGCCTGTCTTTGGCTAAACACTGAAGATATGAAGAGGCAGTGGTAGGAACCGGCAGAGGTAAAGGTGTAAGGCAGTAATAAACAAGAATATCTGTCCAGGAAATTTCAGCAAGAGTGTTGTGTCAGAAAGCATGCAGCTATCTGAAATAACTAATCCTCAAAAACAGAGTCTAGTTTTAGAATTTCTGCCAGTATTTTGCAACAGTATAGCTCTATTACAATATTTAATAGTATATTTTATCTAGGTGGTAGCAATTAATTTATAGCTTCTGTTGAAATTATTTAAGTGATTAAAAGTTCAATAACTTCTATTTTAATAAATTTTTAGTACTGACAGAAATTCTTTTTTTTAATTTTTTTTTTAACATTTATTTATTTTTGAGACAGAGAGAGACAGAGCATGAGCAGGGAAGGGTCAGAGAGAGAGGGAGACACAGAATCCAAAACAGGCTCCAGGCTCTGAGCTGTCAGCCCAGAGCCCGATGCGGGGCTCAAACTCACGGACCACGAGATCATGACCTGAGCCGAAGTCAGATGCCCAACCGACTGAGCCACCCAGGCGCCCCTAGCTTAGAAATTCTTTATGCACCTATTACTTGTCTTCTAGTTCTTCAAATTCCCTATCATACCATTTGACATCCCTATGATCATTTTAATCTCATCGTGTATCTTAGTGAATGCTGAATCCATGGTTTCGAACAATCTCACACTTTTAAAAAAAAAATTTAATAGGCCCAGCTTCTTCCCACCAACCTTTGAAGAACCTTCGAGAAAGGAGAAGCACAGACCTTCCCCTACCAGACATGTACACCATAACCCGGGAGGAGGGAGAAGGAATGGAGACAACTGACACAGAGTCTGTATCTTCCTCTGGCACTCACACACAGTCTTTAGAGCAACTGCTTAATTCTCCTGAAACTAAACTTGGTAGGTCTCTCTCTTTGGGTATGTTTTTCTTATTTAGCTCTGTTGTCTTGTCTAATAAATCCTAACCCTTAAGTTATACTTGTTTTTTTTAACTACTCTAGGAAAATTTCTTTCAGTGTTCCACCCCAAATGGAAGACTCTTCTACAGAATGAAGCAATTGTTTGTTTGTTTTTAATGCTAGTTCTGCTCTAAGCTTGAGCCCGAAATAGATGGTTGTAAGCTATGTAGTATTAGAAAGTAGGATGAACTATTCTCTCACCCTTCTAAGAAACTGACAGCTTTCATTTATTCCTCTGGGTGACTTAGTAGTGCTAAACGTATTTAAATATGGTAAAGTTTTGGTACATGTTAGTCTTACCGGTCATGAACATTAATGTTCATAATTCAGAGAGACTCTATCCTGTAACTGAAGTTTCAGGATCTAGAGTAAGGACTGTTTGTGTCCATGGTCACTGATTGTGGTGTGGGTGGAAACTGCAGTTAGTCTTCCAGGCAAGGTTAGTAGTAATGGCATGGAGGCATCACGAGAGACTGGCAGCAGACTCAAGAATCAGATCTGCCAAAATTCTTTGTCAACTTCGAGCCTGTTCCTTCTCTATAAAATTTGAATAATGATACCTACCCTCTTCATATAAAATTCTTACAAGCATCCATGATATAAACGATTGGTGAATGTTACTACTCCCCTTGTTTATAAGTAAAATGACATAAACTCTTGGGACATAGAGGAGTGTGAGTAGTGAAACTGATAGAACTGTCTACAAATTCTAGAACTGGGGTTCATAGAACTTGAATGCAGTTAGATTACATGCTTTACAACAGAGATTCTGCCTTATTAGTGTTACATTCAACATGTAACGGAGATATGTTGAATAGAAGAATGACAGAGAGTGGACCTGAGTAATATTGCAAACTAAAATATCCATACTTAGATATATTTCTTACTTAGAATCTTCATCTATAATCTCTGATTTTGAGAATTAATTACTGGAACAACATCTTGCAGAGCCTCCTTTATGGCATGCTGAATTTACCAAAGAAGAATTGGTTCAAAAGCTCAGTTCTACCACAAAAAGCGCTGATCACTTAAATGTCCTGCTTCGGGAAACAGAAGCAACCAATGCAATCCTTATGGAGCAAATTAAGGTAAGATCAAACACTGCCACCCAGAAAATACTCTTTGTACCAGATTGGTTTTCTTGACTGCACCCCCTACTCTCACAGATGAGACACATCCATCACATCTTGATTGTTTATGACACTACATTCCTGAAACTGAGAAATACTACTTGCTTTGGTATGTGTTATATATAGGAAGACTACTTTAATTCCTGCTTTTTCTAAGAAACCATAATAGATTCAGAAATAGATTAGAGTAGGTTCACAAGTCATTGTTCCACATGTGCTTATGTAAAACTCAAATAGGTATGGGCCCTTAAGTTCTAAAGATAAACTGTAGACACTTCTCATTCATATCATTCAGCTGATATTTATGGCCCTAAACTACTTATCACAATTGTGGGTAGAGATAGGAAGGTAGCATAGCAAGCTTTCCTATTTAAAAGCAACAGTAGAAGGGAGAAGCCAAGATGGCGGAACAGCATGGAAGTTTTTCTTGTGTCTCATGTCCATGAGATACAGCCAGATCAACACTAAACCATCCTGCACACCTAGAAAACTGAGGATTAACACAACAATCTGCACAACCTGAACCACAAAATTCAGCAGGTACGCAGCACAGAGAGGTAAACTGGGGAAGAGAGAGGCCGTGGAGGGCAGGGAGCCGTTTTTGCATGTGGAGAGGATGGAGGTGGGGAGAATACGGGAAAAGCACCCCCCCCCCCCACCAAAAGCAGCTGGAAAGAAAGTAGAACCGTGGAAACAGCTGCAGGGACTCAACTAAAAATGGAGAAAGGAAAAAGAAAGGGTTTAAACTCTATTAAGACTCTATAAACAGGGCAAGTACAGAGTCTGAAGCTCTGCATCACAATACCTGGCGATGCTCTGGTGAGAAGAGTGAATCCCCAGGAGCAGAGTGAAGCCTGGGGGTCTTTGGACCACATGGGAGAGGCAGTTCCCCTGCTGGGAGGACACCTGGTAGAAGCTCTGTGACTCCCCCAAAGGCAAAGGCCCCAGTGGACCTGGAAGAACAACCGTATCTACTGGTTCTGGAACAAGGTTGCTGGGGGTGAAGCCTGGTGCCAAATGTGTGTGGTGATTTGTCATAATCCCTAAAACACTGCTGCTACCCGATTGCGTGAACTTTTTCTGGGGTGGGCTGGCACCTAGCCGCAGTCCCTGGGTACCAGCAGCAGCGCAGGCCCACGAATGTTCCTGGGTGCAGCCAGCACCTGGCCATTGCTTGGTGACACCCTCCCGCAGAGGGACAGAACAGGTCAAAGCCACAGTTCCTCAGAAGTAAGGGGTGGGGAAAAACAGCCGCATGTGAGATAAAACTCAGGAGGGAGGTTCTGCCTGGGGCATGGCCACAGACTGTGTAAAGCCGGGGAGTGGACGGGAGCCGAAGACAAAGGACGGTACTGAAGACAAAGGATGTGTGTGTGATTGCTGATCAGGGAGAACAGAGTTCTGATACGAGAGACTGGGTAGCTGGATGACACCATTATCACCGCTCTTGCACATGCATGTACACACCTACAAGCGCCACACCAATCCACCCCAGTAAGCTAAGCAGTACCATCTAGTGAAGAATGAGCCGTTACACTAAGCCCCACCCAACCAGGCCAACCTCGCTCTTCAGGAACATGAGTCTCTCCATCTGCTTAGTTTATGGACTAAACTAAAGCTATTATTAAAGCTATTCATATTATTAAAGCTATTCATAGTTGGACTTCTAGAGAAAAATGAAGTCGTTTCTATCATATTTCAGTCTGTTCACTGGTCCATTTATTCAATTTTCCCTTTTTTTTCTTTTCCTTTTTTCTCTTTTTCATTTCTTTTTCTTGAATACAGAAAGAGAAAAACTTCATTTTTGTTTTCAATTTTTATTACAAATATTTTTCTTTAATTTTTTCTATTATATTTTTTACATTTATCTAAATTTTTTTGAATTCTATTTTATTTCCATCACTTCATTTTATTCTACTTTAGTCTATTCATTTCTTCAAATTTTCAAAAGATTTCCTTTTTTTCCTTCTTTCTTTCCCTTTTTCTCTGATCTGTTAAGCCCCTTTCAACACCCAGACTAAAACACACTTAGGATCTATCATCACTTATTCGAGTTTTGTGTGTGTGGGTGTGTGTGCGCGTGTTTAATTTTTCAATTTTAATATTTTTTTAATTTTAATTTTTTTAATTTTAATTTTTTTACCTCATTAATTCCTTTTTTCTCTTCAAAATGATGAAATAAAGGAATTCACCCCAAAAGAAAGAGCAGGAAGAAATGAAAGAGGCTTAACTAACACAGGTACAAGCAAGATGTCTGAATCAGAATTTAGAAGCACAATAATAAGAATACTAGCTGGAGTCGAAAATAGATTAGAAT